AATATGGACACGTTGTCGAATAACCACGGATGACCTAGGACGATCTCCGGCTTATTCTCTAGATTGTTTATCTTTCTATATTATTTAGTTCTTAAAATTTTAATTTTAATTACGAGTCGAAGAGTTTTATCCCTAAGAGCCTAGCAAAATTCAAGCAAATGCACATGCAAGAAAAAAACTTATAAAAAGTATGTCATTTCAACTGCGCAAACAAAATAAACACAACAAATCAACAAAATAGTATCCAAAGTGCATGACAAGTGTTATATAATATACATCCCAGAGTACAGAAAAGTAGTGGTGGCCAGGCTCCACCGACAACAACTTGGTGATGAGGACATCGTCAGCAATTTCGACACATGAGACGCCGGAGATAGACGGCCACGTTCATGAGCTGTATTTTTGTCATTTTATGTAGTAATTTATTTGATTTTTATGTTTTTTCTGTTTTTGCCCTTATGGGTAATTAGTTGCTATTGTAGCCCAAGGGGCATTTTAGTCTTTGGTTTTTTTTTTGTCATTTGGAGGCCTATATATATGGCCATTTTCCTATATATGATTAGTTTTGATGAATGAAAAATATTACTCATTGTTCTCTTTGTGAGTGCACTTCTCCTAGATCTCTTAGTGAGTTCGACGGGGAAACTAGATCTCTTTGTGAGTTCAAGATTTCGTCCGAGTTATTTGTGTGGAAATCTGGGTTGAAGTTAATCGAGGTTAGTAAATTCTTAGTCGCTCGAATCCCTTGAATTTTCCCGTTCTTTCTTCTCTTGCAATTGCCGCTGCCTAGGCCTTAGCCGCCCAAGCCACCGGCCAATTGGCTGCCACATCCCGCCGGCCGGCCACCCCACGCCATGACCCACCCCTTGCCCTTCCTCTAGCCACCGGCCGCCCCTTCCATGGAGTTTCAAATTTTGAAATTTCAAATTACCATGAGCCATTAATTGTTTCCTAATTTAGCTCCTTAATTTACGCCATCAATTTAATTGATTTTCAAATTCGAATTTGAAAATCAAATTGTTTAAATTGATTGCCCTCCTAAATGGAAGTTTTCTCTCCTTAAGAAAACTAAAAATTTATTTCATATTTTGAAAAAAAAAAATCTGAAATTAAATTGGTAGTCCCCACTTATTCAAAACTCACCCCCTCTCTCATCCTCATGTGGCCGGCCCCCTTAATGGCCTCCTCTCTCTCTCCTAGTCACCTTAATAGCTCCACAAAATCAGCCCCAACTCCCTCCTCTCATTGCCGCCCCCTTACTTATGGGAATTCAAATTGAATTCCACAATTAAACCCTTCCCTCCTTCCCAAAATCTGAGAAAATTTCAGTTTTTCCTGAAATTATCTCTTCGCATAAAAAAATAAAAAATAAAAAAAAAAATCTCTTCGCATCTCCCACCTAACCGACCTCCCCTATCCCTCACGCAGGGCAACCTTCTCCACTCCAAGCCGCCACCTTCCACCCCCCCCCCTTCTTCTTCTCGGATGCCACCTCAACTCCCGACAAGAATGCATGGCGGAACCCGAATGGAACTTTGGGTTTGTGCATGACGATCAGGATCAAGTTGACATCCTCCAATCACCGTTCTTTGACGTGGGCTTTGATTTCGAGACAATATTGAAGAATACATTAATCGTATCCAGTACACATTAGTTGATGTGATTGACGAGCAAAGATCAAAGGGACGTTGGATCATCATCAGACGACCATCATCTTCCACCACTCCGGCCACCTATCCAAGAACGACAATCTTAGGTTTCTTCTTCCTCGGAGTGACCTCGATTCTCATGTGGAGACTCTTCTTCCGCTAAAGCCTAGACTAGTTGAGCGTATGGGCTCCAAAGGTGAAAGTTCTCTTTATTAACTCGCGGATTCTTGTTTATCGTCGTAGTTTTACAATTGCTCTTTGCATTTTCTTAAATTGTTTGGTTAACCGACTTCGCTCTTCTTTACCTAAGCAAGTTAAAAACTAAGAACTCTAAGGATCAATCGTTGTTATAAGCAATAAATTTATTTTGGATTATTTTGTTAAATCTGCTCTCTTTAATTTCTTTAAACTCCTGAACGGGTTTGTCTCACATCACTTTGGTTATAATCCTATAGAACAACACAAGTATTAAAAAGAGGTATTTTTAGTCTTCATCTTCATCTTTTGGTTTTTCTATGGATCGTCTTCCTTCACTCTTCTTATGATACATCATCAATTGGATATTCAAATGAAAAGAAACTTCTTGTGAAAAGACTTTCTTTTCTTTTTAGATTCCTGATATTTTATTAAAATATCCCATTTTACAGATTTTCACAACTCTATACTTTGAATAAATTACCATCAGAATTATAAAAAGAAAAATCTAGACTCTCCTGAAAGGTTATCCTATGTAGTTATAATCAAACATCCCAAGTAATTATATGATAAAATAAAAATGCTCAAACCAACAATATTTAGCATGCTCTTATTTATTTGAGGGCTAAGCAGCTGAAGCACCTGTAGCAATTATATATTATTTATTTATTTGTAGCCCCATTTTTAGCCCTGCATGAGTATGGTCACCTGTAGAAAACATTATGAACATCCAGATCACTCCTAACCTATGAATAATCTATCTCCCTTCACATCACAGAAAGAAAATAATAATCATCACAAAAAACTAACACAAACAACAAACCAATCAACTCACGTTTCACATGAAAATCGCCACATTGCAGAGACAGAAAGAAAAAAACACCGACTTAACCTAAAGCTAGAAGTCGTGTCCTAACAAACAAATCTAGGTGTGTATAGTAGGTTGTGTGATTTTGGGCATGTCATATGTAGGATAATTTATTCAAGTTATTTGTGATTTGGTTTGTTAAAAGCCAAAAGGAAAATTTTAGTTTAAGTGTTAATGTCTTAAGGTTTATTTTGAAAGTTTGTTTTTAGTGTTTAGTTGTTACTATCTTTGTTGTTCACTGAGGCCATGAGATTTATTTCACCATTTTTGGGGCTAACTTAATAACCTCGTAGGTCTAGGTTACCCAGTAGTAAGCAATTTTGTTAAATTAATTTAGTTTATTGAAAATTAAAGAAAGATGAATTAAATGAGTTATTATTAGTTTAAGGTGTTAATTTAATTAAGTTTGCTATTGACTGGTTTGTGGCATTATGCCATAAGTCTCGAGGTCGAGACCTCCTTAGGACACTTAGCCCTGCAGTTCGAAGTAGTCCATCTTAAAAATTTCATCTTTGGAGTGTTTGTTGTATGTTAAGGGGTTGATTGATTGATTTTAGAAGATGAGTTATAGCTTGATTGGACTTCATGTGAGTTATCGGATTCTGAAATTTTTGTGTTATGATTGGGCTTTCAATAAATCTTATATGTTGTTCACTTAGTTAATTAGGTTTTAATTCATTTGCATTTGACATTAGAGGTGTTTTAAATTAGGTGTGTAATTAATTATAAAAGGATTTAATGAATTAGAGTTTGATCTTTAGAAGCCATTTTTTTATTTAACATGCTTTAGTTTAGGTTTGATCTCTTGATTTAGCCCATATCTTTTGGGTTTGTTAGAGGGTGATTAATAGGTTAGTTAGATTTAGTTCAGGTGTATGTTAAACTTTTACTTTTTAGTGATTATGTCTGTTAGTTATGGTTTGATTAAAAGTCAGGATGCATGGGTGAAAGTTTGCACGTGCCCTTGTTTGGTAAACATAACTATGGTGAGGCTATGAGTTAACTTATGTTCTGGTAATTACTTAAGTTAGATATTTTTTGGTGTTATACATGTAGCTTTTTTAAAATGGCTTTGAGGTTAGTTTTTGGTGGGATTTATCAAATCAAAATTGTGGTTTCATATTTACACCTCAAGCTTGTTCATTATTTTTAAATACACAACTTATTTATTTTTGGTGCACACCCAACCAAAAGATGCTTATCAATTTGAGAGATGCCTTTCTGATCTACATCAGGTGGTGAGTCTCAAGTGGTTTCTTATGAATATCCAACTAATAGTGGACCCGAACTATTTCGGTTGTATTCATTTTGACCTTAAACTTGTCTTATTGTTCAATTTGATTCCTAATCAAAATTTGACTCTTTTGGTTCTTCAGCTTGAATCTTTTTGATAAGTTGAGGGATCAAACTAGAAAATAAGAAGATTTTGGGTTAAAATAAACACACCCTAAATAATCTAGGGCACTTTAGTCATTTTCTCTTAAATAGTGTAATTGTGTAAATAATCCATGATAGCCAAGTAAGCTTTAGGAGACCAAACTCTGCCATGATCAGTTTTCTTCAGTATTCCTTTTCTTTAGAGACAGAATGAGGAAAGGAAGTTTTTTGTGCTCTTATTTTTGGAAGAGAGAGAGAGAGAGAGAGAGAGAGAGAGAGAGAGAGAGAGAGAGAGAGAGAGAGAGAGAGAGAGAGGGAGGGACTCCTATATTTTTGCTTCCACAGTAATTTCATCTACCTTTTTCGCTCCTCTTTTTTGGATGAAAAACTGTCCTGCCATTTTACAAACAAGAACTTTATTCATAGAAGTTGGATATAATATAAAGATTCCTAGAGCCCTACAGCTTTGCTTTCCTTTATTGAGAAGGTTCTGCCGCATGGAAATCACTTCTTATTGTAATATCCTTTTCTAATATCCTTTGCTGGCTAAGGTGAAAAGGGAAAATGTAATACAGAGGAATCCAAGTTTTAAGATCCTGATAGATTTTACTAGTTTTTAATACAAAGGAAGCTGGTTCTAGGATGTCTGATGGTAGCAATGGGCGAAGCTGTAATAGTGGTTTTCTTTCAACGACAAAATACTGGGTTGTATCTTTTGCTAAAGAAAACCTTGCTTCCATCTATGTACATGAGTAACCGGACATGGAATGAGAAGCCTGTGCTACCTTTGTGGCTTCTATGCATCCTGTTTATTCCATCAATCTATATTTATGTTCTGAAAAAAAAAAAAAAATTATTTGTCACCATGCTTATTACCTTTAAATTCTTTTACCCTAACTCTGTCTGTGCAGATACTTGATAATTTGGTAGATCTCAAGTCTCCGTGGAACTGCCCTCATGGTAGGCCAACAATGCGCCACCTTGTTGACCTGGCTACTCTTTATAACTGAAGGTCTGCATTTGATTCTCAAAATTTATCTATTCTTGGCTATGCAAAATACTATCTTTTGTTGAATTATGCGGATGAAGACACTAGACCTAACTGGTGAACTGCACGTAATCCACCTGTGTTAAATTTAACCCAACTTGAATGATGAACTTATAATGAAATTAAAACTTTCAAGTTTGATGGTTAATGATGTGAATCAAACAGGAATTGCTTGCGGAAATTAAGATGAAAGTAATTAAAGCGTTGCCAACACAAATTTATCACCAATAAAATAAAGGATTAAATGTATTCTAGGTAATCAACTTGCTTAGGTGAAGAGTTGCTTGGAGATAACCAAACAATTCATAAACATTCAAAAGATAAAAGAACTACTTAAATGCTCATAACAAAATCCCATGATTAATAATGGGAAAATTCACCTCGAGCACCTTCTCACTCAATCACTCTTTGGCTTTTAGCGGAGAAGAAAGAACCGCGCGAAGATGGAGAGCACCACTACGGAAAAGGAGACGAAGGACTTTGTTACCAGAGAGGTAGCCGCCGGTGGAGGAGGTGGTGGATGGCGCCCGGTGATTGTCCAAACGTAGTCTTGAAATTGGCGGTCGATGACGCGCACAAGTGATGGGAGAATTCGCTCCAAGTATTCACCAACTGTGTCTTCGTGCTCAAACCCCGCGTCGAAGAACGGGGATAGTAGGATGTTGAGACTACCGTCGGTGTTGAACACAAGCCTCCACTCAAATTCGGGATCCGCCATTCAACATTGAGAAGGGGACGGGAAGAAGAAAAGAAAGGAGGAGTTGGGCCGTGAGCTAGGGAGAGACTTGGGGAAAATCTGAATTTGAATTTCAGATTTTCATGGATTGGAGGGAGAGGTTATTTTATCATTATAGTCTCCCTAAATTATATTAAAGAGGGGGGCGGCTATTAGGGGGAAATTAAGAGGTTAATTAGTGGGTGCTTAGGTGGCAAGGAGAGAGAGAGTATGCTAGCATGGGTGGCCGGCCAAGCAAGGAGAATAGAGGGGAAGTTTGGTTAATTAATGGGGCTCACGGAGTTAATTAAAATCTGAATTTTAAATTTCAGATTTTAATTAATTAGGGAAGGTTTCCTAATGGAGAAAAGAAGAGGGGAATTCAAAATTTGAATTCAAACGAAATTGGGCCTCAATTAAATTCGTTCTTAATTGTCGTAAGCAATTTAGGAAAGAATTCATGAGGGTGTTTATTGTGAAAATTCAAATTTCAAAGAGGGAGGGGGCGGCGGGATTTCTCCAGTGGAAGAGGGCTGTGCTTGGGGTGGACGGTGGGACTTGGGTGGGCCGGCTGCTGGCTTGGTCGACGGCAGGAGAGATGAAGGGGGGAAATCGGCGGGTTCTGGGGAAAAGGGCTGGATCAGCTGCAAGGGTGGGGGGGGGGTGTATAGGGAGATGGTAGGGAGAGAAGAAAACAACAAAGATAAAAGTAAAGCCAAGAGCTCACCACTGTGGCTGTTGGGTATTTCGGGTGGAGCCTCTCCTTGGTCTCCTCACTTTCTCTCAAGCTCTCAAGCAAGAAAAGAAGAATGAAAATCTCAGAATTTTTATTAATCAAACATTAAGCTCATACAATAGGAGGAGATCTCTTTATAAAGGCCTCAGAAAATAACATGACTCAAATGCCCATCGGGCTACAACAAAGACTAAACCTTCATAAGAGCAAAATAGTAAACTAAGTCTTGAAATAAAAGATACATAGAAAATAACATAAGATGACATGACAACATCAGAAATATAAGCTCCCAATCGTAGCCGTCGATCTACGATTCCTTCGCCGGTAGACTTGTCTAAAATGTCTGTCGATGACCGCATCAATTAATCCACACCAACCTATGATTAGGCTGCAAGGGTACCAAATAACTAAAAGATGTAAAAAAAAAAAATTACAACATGTGAATCGGAATAGACTCGCCATTTGAATTTCAACAACCAATTAATGAATAAGTTTAAAGTAAATTCAATAATTTTTATATCCATCCTCATATTATTTGTATCAGGACATTCAGACAAATTTTGGCTTGTAAAATTTTTTTAGCGCACCAGGCAATGGAAATGACAGTGTGACAACATTATCCCATTTTCATTTCATTGCTCTGACTTTGAACCTACCTACAGCTGAATCTCAACAATTCGTTACGCCAAATTTAAGTTCCTATGATTGTTTATCACTTGGGGTTCTACAGCTTTCCTTGCAGATGCCTACCTTGTTGATTTCCTTTTTAGAGAAATTGCCGCATTGGATACTTCCATTTTTCAAAGATTGGGCGCTGTAGTATTTCTTGTCTTTGCCTTAATGTCCGTTTGGGAAGAACCGTCCAGACTATAACTGTACATATTATTCACACACAGTGTATACATGGATTTGATACACTATATACAAATATGTACTCAGTGTGTACACTCACATGTCTTGGCGGTTCTTCCCATCCGGACTCCGCACAGAATAATTCCTCCCGTTTGATAATGCTTTTTTCTACTGCTTGTACTTTTTTGAACGTAGGATTTGTGAAAGCAATTTCAGCTATGTCAAAGCTGATTAATAAAATAGCTTACGGTGATTTAAAAGGTTTCCTAAATATATGTTTTCACTAGATTTGGCAAGTAATTTTGTTGTTCAATTTACCAAGTAAATAAATTTATCATTGTTAATTATTTATTTATTATTTACGATTGTTTCAGCATATTATAATAATGTTTATTTTAGTCAGTGACAATACTTTTTTTTTTTTCAAATAACTATAATTCTTACGGCATTTTAGATAATAATCTTGCAAAATATAACTATGGTAATATTTCATGCACACATACAGGCTAAAGGTGGACAGACTGACTCCCAACCAGCTTTCTTATATCCAGTAGGGCCTCGTGTGGTCTTAATTTATGCACGTAGAATGCCTATTTTTTGCCCTGGATACTCTTCAATTTTATTATTATTATTGTTTTTTTAGTTTTTTGGTGGGCAGAGAGGGTGTGTGGGTGTTGAATCTCTTGGGGGCAGCAGTATGATTTTTTTTTTTTTTTTGGCATAATAGGATGATATGAGCAGTTATATCACCATTTTTGATATTTTTGAAGTTGCAAGAGCTACAACTGTGTTCATATTTTTGGGGATATTTTGAAGGTGTTATTTTATTTTGGCATTTTATGTATATAGTATTTTGTTAATATTGATTAATTTTTTTCTACTGTTTTGTTGGTAATTAAGTACATTTTATAAAATATAGAAATATAATGGTAATTAAATAATAATTATTTTGCTTGTTTTAAAATTTCAATGTGATATGTATTTGTTACATGCTAGAAAAGTTGTGATATTGTATTGCTTGGCTTATCTTTTGAAAAAATCCAGTATTCATAGAAAAAAATATTGAAGATGAGAAATTTTATACATGGAAGTGAAAAATTGTAAAAATCCACTATAGAATATGAGACTCAAGAAATTTTTTTCTCCTTTTAATTGAAGAAGATTTTGTTATTTACAATTGTTAATAGTTATTGTCTCTTTGAGCCGCTCGATTTGATTATAATCATGTTATAATTGGAGGTTGTTTTGTTCATCGATTAATGGTGAAAAGTTTTTTAACATAATTCAAGTATAATTTGAGCTCATTTGGAGTTGGATTAGATCATTTATGGTATTTATAGGTTTGTTTTATCGAGATGTTTAGTTTGATTATAAAAAAATCTTCTTCAATAAAAAAATTATTTTTAAAAAATTCCTTAGAAATCAATAAAAAAATTGTCTTAAATAAAATCTTATTTGAAAATCAAAACAATTTCGTTAAATTATTCCGGCACTAGCTATATCGAACTCATTTTGAGCTTGAGCTTGTACATTATGAGCTTGAGCTCGCTTATAAGTTTATCTTGTTTAAACTAAAATATATTTCAAAATTAATTTTAAAATTATATAACTAATAAGTACTAAATACTTTTAATTATTTATAAAGTCAAGCTCGAGCTTTCCTAACATGCTCGAGCCTAATAATTTTCAAATAAATTGAGCTTGAATTAATCATAGCTTGATTAGCCAAAATACTCAGACTTGTTTTTACTCATTTAGGTGTATGCATAAATCAAATCGGGGTTGAGTCATTCATGTTTTTAATTTGATTAATTATTAGAATTCGAGCTTGAGTTGAGCTTTTCTATCATACGTCTAAGGGTTCTTTGGTTAAATCCTATCTCCATTTACTCTACCATGCATAAAATTTAAGGTATAGCAAAAATTATCTGGCAATAAAAGCACTGATTATTAAAAAAAAAAAAAAAAATTGGTAAAGTCTGAATGATCAAACGCAAAATTGCTCAATGAAGGCTTGTGATATTAGCATTTATAATTATATCAGGAATATAAGACCAAAAAAAAGTTCGTAACATCAGCAGAAATCTCTTACGATTTTACTTGGCTCAATATACATATATATAGGAGCTGACCACAAATAAACAGTAAATGCTCAACGTCTCATCACAACACAAAAATTATTGTGTGGACTCCAAACGTCGTCCGAAAACCAATCAAAATTCTCCTCGTCAACACCTTGTGCTCGGTACCGTTGACGTAGTGCATTCTTGTTGGTCTTCGGACGGCATTCTACGTCTGATATCCGCATAAAATAATTTCTCCATCACAGAAGTATAGATTCCACCAAATACTAACTTGGTATTAGCAGCAAGCAGACTAGTAAAAGACTGGAAGCATAAAAAAAAAAAAACTGTGCCATCCACATTTGATCAAACATTAACAATGCAAAATGTAACACAAAAAAAAAAAACTCCCGTAAAAAACTCTTTAATCATTGCCATTAGAATAACAGTGATTTGATACCATACTGCATAACAAAACAAACTATCAAACAAAGCAAAAACTCATTAACAAATGCCAAACAAACTTAAGTTCCATTAGGAATATTTGTTAAACAACAGAAATTTCCATTAGGAATATAAGAGAGATCAAAGATAATATAAATTCTGAGAAATATATTCCTTCTGCATATAATATGACACTGGTATGTATGTACAATCAGAGAGACCTCTCAAGCTATCAAAAGAGTAACAACAGCAAATGGAAACAAACAAAGATCCTTTCTAGTTATTATATCAAAACCACACATGATTACTTTAGAAGTCTGTTGTCAATTTTTTACAATCTAGCTCTGTGAAGAATGGGTTCCCATCTGCAGTAGTGTTAAGCTTGCAAATTTTGATAACTGGTGTAGAAATGGTGTTGAGAGCTGCACAATAAATGACCTTCCTACATGAAATAGCTGAGTGCCTTCTTCTTCCTCGATCCACCTTCTCCATACAACTCATTCCACTGCAGAAGCTCACTCATATTCGTCGATTCTGATGAGACGCTTGCACATACCTAGCCAAAAGATAAAATTATTAAAAAAAATTAGTCAAAGTAAAATTTACAAAAAAACTCATGGAACTTGTATGCATATACATTTAGATATTTATTTGGAGAGTCCCTAAAAATAGAGATCCAAGTTTTGTCATTCCAAGGTTAAATTGGGGTCAGTTGACAAAATGAGCACATTAAAATTTTGTTTTATAGAACTTACAATTATGTAAAGGTAATATTTTGATGTTAAGAAATTGATGAGAAGGAAATGGAAGTATGGAATCATTTTGCAGAAATTTAGCTTTCCTTCTTTTGTTTCGCTGTAATTTTCCAGAAAGCGCTGTAATTTTCCAGAAAGCACAATATCAAACGTAGATCTATAATACCTGTTTGGGCTCCGAAAATTCGCGCCCCGGCATCCCCTTATTTTCAGGGAGTTTTAATGAATTAAGTTCCGAGGTAAATTTTTAGAAGGCATATTGGGTTTAAAATAAGACACTATTCAGAGATTTCACCCTCATTTTGCAAGGACTTCAGATCTGAGTTCTGATTTCCTATAGGCGTAAGCCCCTATAGTTAATTACCTCTCCCGATAACGAGAGAGAACTTTCAGTAAATTGGGATCAGTTGACTAAACGATCAGATACTACGTCTCCGTAGATACGTGATATCCGGCTTATATTAGGAACATGGGTTTAATATTTGAGCATTGGATATTTAAAATTTAGAATTTCATTGTCTTGCACTTAAAGTGGATGGTGGAGGGAATGATGGTGAACCCGATCAAGATCCCATGGTTTTGTCGTCCCGGCCCATCATAGTCCCTAGTCTACTTAGTCAAAGGAGTTAGTCGACCCAACCTGACAAAAGGATTCTTATCGGTCGCCAAGGGTCACTTCATCCAAGGGTACCTTGTAGATCTAGGGTGGGTATTTGTCTAAGGGAACACATTTGAATTCACCTTAGCTGACAGAGGGTTTTGTACCCTATCGATTCATATCTCAAGGATTTAGAGTCATTGGAGAGCATACGGGCTCTGGCCATAATTTTGTGGTGTCATTTGTCGGCAAACAACCCGATTTGACGGTTGAATTTCGAGTTTAAATATTTGAATTTTTTTATTTTTAGGTTTTTATGTGCATTTGAGTGGCACTTTTGAATATTTGAAATTAATCTCTACGATTGAAATTTTCTGTCAACATGACCATCATCGTGATGTTTATGGAGAATTTACTTTTATGAGTTGAATTTTGTCAACTCTGTCAGCTTGCCGACAAAGGATCAGGTTAGTTGTCAACTTTATGTCTTTATTGGTGAATTTTCTTGGTTATAGGCCTTGAAAGCCTAATATGAACTTATAAAATCAAATATCTCGGTCGATGTCGCGACCGTATATTTGTTCATCGGTCCAAGTCGTGACAACTCTCGTCCTATTAAAGAGAAGGATTTGACTTAAACTTAAATTCATTTCTTGACTCTCGCAGCATCCTCAGACATCATGTGTGTAAATAAAACATGCTCGTCGGGGCACATATGGGTATTTAGGGGGCATTTTTTATAATTATTTGTTGGACCTTGTTGACTATGTCTAATTGTTGGCAATGGATCGAGCTTGTAGTAAGCTTCAGGCCTTTATTAGTGAATTTTTCTTGTTATAAATCTTGAAAGCCTAATATGAACGTATAAAACAAATGTCTCGGTCGACACTACGACCGTGCATATGTTTGATAGCACAGGTCATGTCGACTCTTATCTGCTTGCATAAAATGATCAGGCTAAAACTTGGGTTTATCATTTGATTGCGCAGCATCCTTAAACGTCACATGTTTAAATACAACACACTCCTCGGAGCCCATGCGGGTATTTGGGAGGTATTTTGTAATTATCTGTTAAACCATGTCGACTATGTCTAATTGTTGATAGAGGATTGGGTTCGTTGCTGGCGTTATATTTTTATTGATGAATTTTTCAAGTTATAGACCTTGAAGGCATACAAAAATGTCCCAAATCTCCGAACAGTCCTTTGCATTTGAATTCTTTCCTCCTAGCAATCCGCCTATCTTAATTGAACTTTAATGCCCTTGACCCCACCAAAAGAGACGGACATTTAGTAGGCGGCTAGGGAGGACCGGCTTGACCAATCCAAGAGGGAACGATCTATCAAAGCTTTTCTAAATAAAGCAATGCTAGATTATTCTGGAGGAGGGAGTTGCCAAAGGCAAGTAATGTCAAAAGGGCCTGGCTTGATGTTGTTGGAGGGTTTTACAAAGTGAAAGGCAATGTTATAGAGGAAATGGTCGACAAAGGCGGTCATATAGGCTGGTTTACAATGAGAGGTTGAAGGGAAAGAGAAAGTGGCATGTTACTTAGACAGATCGAGAGGGAGAGGGGAGAGAAATTGCTGGTTAGAGATTTTGGAGGAACCTTATGCCAACTTATTTTCCAATCCCGTGTTAATTCTAAATGAGGAGAGAAGAGTATGATGCAGTGATCCAATTAAGAGCGCCTATTACAGTTTGTTGCGAACACATTGATACTTCTTTTGGAAATTCGTTTGGGCAAAACAGCAAAATTCTTAATTTATATGTTACTACATTATCAAACCAAATCAGGGAAAAATAATGAAGCTATGAAAAAATGTGCATATATATATATATAGGAATTGAATTTATTAGTTAGAAGTAACTTCATTGGATGAAATATGAATTTAAAAAAATGCATTGTCTACCAAGGAAATTTATTCTTAAACCCAACTGATGAAACGAACATATCATTTATCAAAGTGATTGTCAAAGTAATAAATGGAAGACACCTATACTAAAAATGCTTCCAAATTTATTAAAAAAAAAATCACCTGTTCATGTGCATATTTCAGGTCATCCATCTTCAGCGGACGAATGTCCACCCAACTACACAGGGGTGGTAAAGGTTTTCCTTCTTCAAGTGCTTGACTTTTCTCCTAAAGAAGTTGAACGTACAGACAAGGCTAGTTTCAATTTAACAAATACAAAAGCTACTAAACGAACATCAAGCATCAAACAATAGAAAATTGTTAGTTTCAACACCAACCTTCTTTTCCTTCTCCAAAATTTCTCGAATAGGACGATGTGCAGCAGTCACGCAAAGATTCTTAAAAAAGAGGGAAAATAAGTACAGGAGAAGGAAAAGATTAGTCTCATGGTAAGAAATACACAAATAAACAAAACCAGACAAAAAACAACTACAAGAAAAACCTTCAGGTCACTTCCAGAGTATCCATCAGTAATATTGGCAATTGCTTCAAAATCAACATCTGTTTCCAATTCTTCTTTGGCTAGTATGACTCTAAGAATCTTATCTCTGTTTGAAGCATCTGGCAAGTTCACCATCAATCTGCATGAATTATTTTATAAAACAGTCATGCAAAACAACATTCATTATTCAGATTTGTGAGAATGTAATTTTATATTATGCGCGATACCTCCGTGGCAGTCTCCTTATGACAGCCTCATCAAGATCAAATGGCCTATTGGTAGCTCCAAGAACAATAACACGTTCTTTATCTTTTGTGCGCAACCCATCCCAATTCACCATAAATTCATTTTTCATCTTGCGCATGGCTTCATGCTCTCCTGGATTTTCCCTTCTACCCAACATACTATCAACCTAAACAGCAAAAGGAGTAAATAAGCATGTAAATAGTTCAGCGCCAGCTAGTCAAAGGCAAAGAATGATAGTGTGAGGAGCCTAACCTCATCAACAAAGACAACGCTAGGAGCAATTTTACTTGCTAAGGAGAAAACAGCCTTAACATATTTTTCCCCCTCACCAAACCACTATAAAAAAATAAGAAATAGGCCAATAACATTGATGTAGATGTTAAACTGTTAGATAAAATTAATTATGAATAGTACTAACACATTGATACCTTCGATGTGATGCTAGACATTGATATGTTGATAAAATTTGCACCTGCTTCTGTTGCAACAGCTTTAGCAAGCATTGTTTTTCCAGTGCCTGGAGGACCAAAGAGCAATATTCCCTTGCAAGGCTGAAGAACATAGGCAAAAATATTACGGTTATGTTATTAAGAAAGGAGATACAAAACCAACACTGATCAAACAAAGAGAACGCATTAGAGAATTCACCACAAAGATGGATCAAGTTGCAAGCTCCCGTTCAACATCACCCAGAATAATGTTAATTTAACTAGTCTTTGGCACCTACAGATACATAATTATAGACATTTACTACTGAAATTAATGGTGTAAACTACAGTTAGGTCATTTGAACTTGTTCTGCCCTCTAGTTTGGACGCTCAAACCTAAAACAAAGAAAATTGGTTTCTTTCGACTTAAAAGTTTCAACTTGGTCAATTGCGCTACAATCTGACTGAAATTTCCCCCGTAGAAGGCCAATGTCCATGGTATGTTCCTTCACTAGCCAGTCATCATTTTTTAACATTCTGAATGCTCCATCACTTGAGGATATTCACATGTTAAGTACCATTTTTAATCTCTGAACTTGCATATCCACAAATCTTCAAATGCAAAAGAAAATTTAGGACTTAAGCTTTAACTAAGAAATTATGACAGTATCAGATGTTCTAACATGACATTTAAATAGGCAGATTTGCCAACATAATGAATACCAAATAACTTGGTATTGAGTGACTTTAGTAACAATTAACACTCTGCATCTGCATCATGGCCATTTTAATGTAAATTGTTAAACATCGAGTATTGTTTAGGTGGCAAAGAGTTACTGTTCTTGTTTAGGTATTTGAAAACTTAATATTTAAAATTAGAAATTTATCACCTAATACTTAATGTAGATGATGGTAGGGGAAGTGATGATGAGGCCCGATCAAGATCCCATTGTTCTGTCGTCCCGGACCATCGTGATCACTGGTCTACTTAGTCAAAGGAGGTAGTCAATCCAACGTGACAGAAGGATCATTGTCGGCGGCCATGGGTTTCTTCGTCCAAGTGTACCTTGTAGACTTGGGATGAATATTTGTCTAAGGGTACAAGTTTGAGTCCACCTTAACTAACAGATGGATTTGTGCCCAATTTATTCATTGCTCAATGATTTGAAGCCGTTGGGGAACATATGGGCTCTGACCATGACCGTAAAGTTCTGGTGCCATTTAATGACAAAACCACTCGGTCAGAGGGTCCTGGTCATAACATTTTACCTGTGGTATCATTTGACGGCAAAACAAACGATTAGAGGACACGTGTTACGTCCTTATTGGCAATAAACGGTTTGAGAATGAATCATATTGATATTTTCGATCAGACATTTACTCTTTGTAAGCTGAAGTAATTTTCACATTGTCCATCTCGGCAAATTATTGCGGAGAGTATATGGGTATTTTGCTTTAATTATTTAACGTTTTATTTCAATTTTAAATATTTTAGATATGAAGTAATTTTTGGAATTTTAGATTTTCACTAGTATTTGAGAATTTGGGAGGCATTTTTAAATATTTCTGATCCCCTCCGATTGATTTTTTTTTTCAACACGGCTATCATCAGGATATTTATGGACAATTTCATTTTGTCGATTGAATCCTATCGACACTGTCTACCTGCCGACAGAGGATTAGGTTTATTATCGGCTTTATGTCTTTATTACTGATTTTTTTTTTGTTACAGACCTTGAAGGCCTAATATGAATGCATAAAACAAATATCCCGATTGACATTGCGACCGTACGTTTGTTTGACTATTCAAGCCGTGTTGACTCTTATATACTCACATATTCAGGCTCTAACATAGGTTCATTTCTTAACTCACGCAGCATCCTTAAATGTCATGTGTGTGAATACAACATCCTCATTGGGGTCCATGCAGGTATATATTTTTTGTAAATGCATCTTGCTAGATGTATTTATATGGCGATTATGTGTATGCAGTGGGTGTGTATGATGTATATGCGTGTATGTATAAGCACCAAGATTTTCTTCCACACATTAACATATTTGCATATGCATTTGCATATTTGCATGCGTATATGCATGATGCAATTTGCATGTTGTCTGATATTCGACATGTTGCACATTAGCTTAATGCAGTAGTAGATGATTTAAATGCGTAATATGTTCACATAATGATACAATATTTTCATCTAATGCATGACATGCTTAGCATGGCGTGATGCTACTGTGCGACATATTTTACATATTGGACCACATTTGGGTGATTCATTTTGTATGTTACGACGTATATATGCATAATGCATTTAGCATGTTTATGTGATGTGTTGCCATAACATGGCGCATTCTACATATTGAATGGTGTACCTACATGATGCTCCCGCATATTACGAATATATGTATGCTATAAATATGTCGGTGGTACGCATTTTGATGTATGAGGGATTTTTTTTTTGTAACGATCACTATGCAAGTAACTGTCATTGAGAAATGCGCTGGGTTTCATTTGAGAATTTATAGACGTCTTATGTCCGCTTGTATGCATGTTGCGGATCCGATGGCATTGCACTTCATTCATTGCGCACTAGCAACGCAGTTTAGTTAATTTCTTCTTCCACAAGCTGCTATTTTCTTCAATACTTAGCTTATCGGAGTGTAGTATTTGCAAATGAGCTGTGCGTCGCATCAAGAGTCTTCCACTTGTTGATTGCTAGTGAGCTAATTTAACTGACGTGACAGCCTAGTTTTGCAAATTTGCTACCTTTTATTATCAATGGCCCACATTGTTTAATACAAATTCTCTGCTTCTGCTTAGAGGTGAATTGTAGCATTGTGTTATGAATTATTTGCTACTGTATGCAAGTAGACTGTCGTGCATTAACGAATCTCCCGCATTTGCTTGTAGATATTTGCATTCATCACAAGCTTCTGTGCTCGTTTGTAGGTAGCTTGTTGTGTATGAGGGGCCTCCCATAGTAGCCCATAGATGCTTGCATTTGTTGCAGTCCTGCATTTGTCTTGATCATCAATTTTTGTTTGTAAAAGATATGTTGCATGTTGATGTTCACAAGGACATCCTTGCGTATATCTACTACTGCTGCTTAGAGGCAAGCTGATCAATTTATTTGTAGATTGATGCTGATGAGCTGCATTTGTCATCGATATCCCTATGCATGTTGATTAGCAAATTGCATGTTAACCTTCGGCGCATATAGGGATTGGCAAGTTTGCCCAAATGTTGATTTTGTGTTCAAAATAGATGGTTATGATATCTTGAATGTTGATTAGGGTTTGACTGCAGGAAGAGTATTATATTCATTACATTTGCATTTCAGCTGGCATGTTCTCCTACTGCCATGCATATAGATAACTTGTAGTATACGTTTGCAAATCCTTTACTGTCTTCGAAGATGGTTTACATAATGAAACTGTCAAAATTGCTTCTTGACATTTGCATTTCAGCTGGCATGGCAATTCTTTGACATGCATTGGAAATGTTATGTCATTGTTTGCATGTAAATTACCGTATACTCCATAATTCTCATCAATTTTTGCTTACAAGCAAGTTGTGTCACAAGTCCTTCATTCATTCATTGACGTTCATTTGAGTGCATAGAACCATTATTTAGCATTTATTTTTTCAAATTCATTATGCATTTTAGAGTTCTAAGGTCTGGTATCCTACTAATTCATTTAAGTTTTGTTCCTTGCATTCATTTAAGTCCAGGTCCTCTATTATTCAAAATTTTGATAGTCTCTCAGTGTCTCCCCCGTTTAGGAGAAATTTGGGGAGCTAGGCCTTCCCACCATGCTAAAGAAAAGTGAACGGTAAGTGTCGGGTGACACCACAGTTGTGGTCTTCAATCCCACCACGCCTAGAAAGGCATGTATGGGTCTTCAGGGGTATTTGTTTGAAATGCACAGTTTTTCCCCGCCGGCACTGAGGCAAGCACACAGGTACTTAGTTGTCCCTATCATGCTAAGAAAAGTGTGTACAGGGCCTACCCGAGTCGCTGTAAGTTTCGCACTGGGTCCCCCCCACCCCCCTCCCACACCACAACGCTAAGACAGGCGTGTATGGGAGGTCCACCGATGCGCCGCAAGCATCAAAAGCTGGATTTTAGGGTTTTTCTGGTTAGGATATATTTATACCTGAGTGAGCGACGATGGCAATGGGGATCAAGGCAAAAGTGCACAAAAATATTTCTTTTTCTCCCCCTTCTTTTAGAATCTCTTTTTCTTTCCTTTTCTTTTCTCTCTTTTTTAAAAATAATAATAACAATAATAATGATATTAATGTTAATACTAATGATTTTAATAATATTATTATTAAAATTGTGAGGAAAAGGAGAGATAGCTAAGGAGTTTTAAAGAGAGAGAGAGAGAGAGAGTGAGTGGATAGTGAAATAGTGAATTGTTTGGGAGTGTAGGGGTTATGTTAACTGTAGTGGATTGCTGTTTTGGAAAAGTGGTGGGTGTTGAAGTTCAGTTAAAGGCTAGTGGAATGTGTGGTGTGAATTTGGATGGGTTTGAGTTGGTAAATTAGAGTAGTGGGCTATTTGAAGTGGGCTTGGGCTCGCTGATTAGAAGAGGTGGTTAGGGTTAGTTACTTAAGTTGGATACTATGCTACTTACTATGTTGAGGTAGAGGTCGGGTAATGTGCTGGAGGCGGGATGTGTTCGGCTTGTTGTATGGGAGGAAGATCGAACAAATGACGGGTCAGCTGGAGGGGCTCAATATGAAGTTCAATCGACAAATGCAGGGGTGGATCAGAGGCTCGATAGGCAGTGGCAGTGGTGCGGCTAGTTCAACTAAAGGTTGCTGACAGACGGATGGAGGAAATTGACGGGTTGCGTTCGATCGAGCAAACTCAGACAACTATTAGGGGCTCGATCAGGTAGCTGGGTCGGCAAATTGGAGCTATTGTGTGTGAAGAGGGTCGGCACAGGAGAGCCACGACTGGGCTCAATTGAGTGGAGCGATTTTAGAAGAGAACTTGGAGCTGTGACTTTAGGATCGGCCAAGTAGAGCAGATCAATGGGTTGGGTGGTTCTGGTAGCCGAAATGTGCAGAGAAAGAGAAGAGGGAGGTCGGGTAGGTGGTTCAATGGGTTTGACGGGATGAGGTTACGGTTCGGATTGGCACAAGGAGAGCTGCTACTTGCGGAGGTCGTGAGGCTGGAGTCGGGATTTCAAGTGCCAGAGCGGAGAAGAAAAGAAACGAATGAAGTCTCCCTTCGTCCTCATTTTAATGACATGGAGAACAGCTCGCAGTAGCGGGATTTGAGTGGATCGAATAGGTTTTGCACAAAGAACTCGCGAAGTGAGCGGCGTCGAAGCCGAACAACAGGTACAAATTTGGGTAGGATTTGCGCGTGATTTTTGGGATTTCAACAAAGGTCAATAGAGCATAAGATAACCATAAAAGCAACTTGTGTGTCACGGAACAATGCTGCATTGATGTAGAAGACTCGCCTCCGAATAATGAAAGTTGTAGCGGTCCAGGAAATCTTCAGGATAAAGAATTAAAGCTATAAACAAGGTTTAAAATTGCGCAATTGGACAATGAGGCATTTTTCCTTTATGAGGTAAGGCATAAGCCTTAAGGCGTTTTGAGGCGTAAATCCAAAAATTGCGTAAAGTGAATATAAATGTTAAAGGTGATTTTTTATATAATATCCAAATAATATGTTAAAAATTACATATTATGATGCGGACATCCGACGGTGGACGATATTCAAAGGAAGAGTCAAAGATCAACGATCGATCCGTTTTATTTTAGTTTATTAATTGTATTTTGATTTAATTTTGTAATTTTCCCTTTTTACCCTTTTATTTAAGAGTTGTCTTATGTAAGACCAAGGGGCAAATGTGACTTTTAGTTTCTTTTGAGGCCTATATATAGAGGCCCCTTCTTTTGTTTATGTATGATGGAATTTTAATTAAAAAAAAAAATTCTGCACTTTTTGTTCATTGGGAGGACTTAGGTGAGAGAATCGTAATTTCCACTACCACTGGATGGGTCCGGGCTCGTGTCTTGAAGTCCCTTGGTGAAGGGCAACGCATCACCCATCAACCACATGAAGTGTTCGGGCTCACGGTTTTATTTTTCTTTCCCTTAACTCCTTTTCTCCTTCTCCCTTGACCGCCGGCCTTACCCCTCTACAGCCGTCGTCCAAGCTTCCCTCTTCCCTCTTCCCTCCTCCCAATCTCTAAGACGAACACCACCACCCTTTCTTTCCCCCACCTCAAACCATCGGCCACTCCACCACAACCCACCGGCCAAGGGTTTCCCCCCACCCAACCCTCAAAGTTCCCTTGATTTCAATTTCATTTCACCATCATTACTTTCCTAAATTAGCTCCTATCTTATTTGGAAAGTTTTCGAATTCAAATTCAAATGAATTTGAATTTTAAATTCTTTCGTAAATAATCTACATCTATTTTAGGAAATCATTTAATCTTATTAAATCTAAAATTATTTCAGATTTAACTCTCCAATCTCACATTAATGCATGGGTCCACATACATTGTATGTGGACACCTTTTCTTTTCCCACCTCATTAGGCCGGCCCCTCTCTCTCCCCTATTTTAATTATTTCCTTCCTTATTAAGGAATTCAATTAAAGGAATAATTACCCACCTATTTATCATTTCCTCAATCTTATTTGAATTTCAAATTTTAAATCTCTTGATTAGAAGAAATCTGAAATTTCATTTCAGATTTTTAATCTTATTATCTTCACCCACCCGTTCTGTTCTACATCATATTAACTTTCTATTAAACTATGAATTAACAAATTGACATAGATATGAAACAAAAAATTGCACAAGATGTAAAGTGATAAGTGATAAATTGCGTGAAATAAAATTAAAACCCAAATATTTCAAGAGCAAAACAACATGAAATATAAGAATTGTGTAAAACTATCCCATAACATTAAGTTCAATTCCAAATTCCTTTTTTATCAATTCCCTACTTATCCATATTTAATTCTTAAAAAAGCTAACATAAATGGCAACTCATAAATCATCTGCACGGTCTCACTGAGGGGAATTTATTTTAGTCGTCGTCTGAACAAATTATTATATCTCATGTCTCATCCTGTAAAGTTCAATGCCTCTTAATTTGTTTCTTCTTTATTTATTTCAATCATCTTTCTCTTTCATAAATATTTGTCAACATAAAGATGAGAATAATACTCAAAGAGAAAGACTACCTCAAATAGTTTGGAAGAAATATTTGTGCACTACCACTCACAAAGAGAAAGAAAGGTGAGTCAAATAAGTCTATTTAAAGTTGAAAACTCAATTTTTATTCATCATCAAAATTCAAAGACCTAAATTAGGCCCTGACATAATGAAGTCTGGACACAAATTTCAATAAAGGTCCTAATAATAAGGAAATGATAAAAGTAACCTATAATTAGGTAAGTATTTTGATGTTCACATGAAAATTCAATCACAGTTTTCATATATAAAATGTAGTCAAGCATAAAATCACTTTCTCATCATGCAAGTGTCATAAGGCAATGTTGTATTGATGTAGAAGGCTTTAATGCAACATCATTTCGTCAAGGATGGCAGAACTCGTCCCTGGAGTGTTAAAACTGAAGTGGCAATCCAAGAGGTCGGGAGTAAGGTGTTGAAGGTCTTTTAACTCTAATTGATCAATCCAACTATCAACTGAAGGAGGATGACTATGCCAACAAACAAAATAATGCTGAAAACTAGGACCTTAAGACAGCTCATTAGTGATGATATTCTTAATAGCTTGTGCTGTAGAGGAAAAGATGGAAAAACACAAAAAGAGAAGGAGAAAGAAGAAGAAAGCACCTGTACAGATAATTGTGATAGCGAGGTAAATAGCTTCGCACACAATTTGGAAGAGAGATTTCCTCAACACAGACAAAGAAAGAAGCCAATGGGGAGACTAAAAATTTAAGTTAGGAAACACAATTTTCATTCATCATAAAAAATTCAATACCCTAAATTAATGAAGTTTTTTCCTACACTTAGCAAAAAATAATAGCTGGATAGCAAGGAAATGACAAAAAGAGTTCGAGAACTACGTAAATATGTAACGTTCACATGAAACTATGAAAGTTAAATTACATATAGTTTTCTTACTTATGTTTTTTCTTGTTTGAGCATATCTAAATTGGGACTCTGATCTTCTTGCTTCTTTGCTTTCAATTACATATAGTTTTCTTATGCTTATTCATGTTTGAGCAGATCTAAATTGGGGCTTTGATCTTCTTGCTTCTTTGTTTTTAATCACGTTATTTTGCTTCATTGAGTTAAGCTTTGTAGCAATGTTTAAAATTGTGTATTCGAGTATTGAGGTATTTTTCGTTCGTGAGGTGAGGCGTAAGCCTCAAGGCGTTTTGAGTCGTAATCAAAAGATTATGTAAACATAATTTATATACTAATGAGTGAATAATATAAAACATAAAAAAACATAAAATATGAAGTGAAATCAAAATATCCAAATAATAAGACAACATGAAATATAGTTCAACTCAAAATTCTATCTTTCCCAAATCCCAGTATTTTTTTTATTAACATATAATCCCAATTTTCAAAAATAAATAGCAATGACATCTCACATAAGAACTCATAAGTCATCAGCACAGTCATCACTAAGGGGTTCTTCATTTGAATCATCATTATGATGAACTGCTCTCTCCCCTTCCTCCTCTCCTATAGAGTCTAATGTCAGACATTTACTTCAAGATTTATGTAAGTTTTAATATATATAGCGTGAGGCGAGGCAAGCCTCAAGGCGGGCCTCAACCAAGTTGAGGCGCAAGCCTCATAAAAAAAAACTCGAGGCGTAAGCATCGAGGCGTTTTTTACTGGAATTGCGCAAAGGCGGGAGGCGAGCCTGATATTGCGCAATTTTAAACCATGCTTTGTAGGTCAACAAAGTTGATTTCATAATCTCTCAAAATAATTTTTTACCATTTTTATCAATGAATATCTCTGCTTTTTTGCCAAAATACAACTATTTTCTTTGTTTTCCAGTAATAGTTGTTGTTTGTGGGCACCAAAAGATTTTCACCCAGCTTTTCTAAGAGAATTTGATTTCGGGTCAAATTTTCAAAAAGAAGATTGGATTTCAGATAAAACAATACCAAATATTTCACCCTAAAAATAAGAATCTAATTTACATGCTAAATGTCATCCTAAGATCAAGTCCTAACTCATGATCAAGCATAACAAGAGACAGGATCTTATACAAACATATTATAGAGAAAAGAAGTCGGAACTTACTAATATATTTGTATGAGAAGTTTCATTTCAACATGTTCTAAACTAGCTTGATGGCTTTTGAAGAGTGTACTATCAGAGACTATTTCACTGATTAAATAAAACTGAGAATGTAAAAAAAAAATTAATAACTTTTTATCATTATAACACAAACAATCTCTAGTATAAAAGAAAATTTGTAACAATGATCCTGGGATTCATTATATACAAGTTTATTTGTCAAAGAATCAAATATGCCAAAATAGATTTATGCAAACAGAGAAGAAATGGATCTATAGAAGCAAAGTTTTAAGCAGGTTGCACTTAAATGGAAATGATCCATACCTTAGTCAATTGTCCTTTGCTAAATAATTCTGGTCTCTGCAAAGGAAGCATCACCAACTCCTTCAAAGTGTCTTTTACCTGTTCTAAAGCTCCGATATCATCAAAACTAACCCCAATCTCATTAGGTGGAATAACATCAGCCAAAAGCCTTTTCTCAAACTCATTTTCTGTGACCACATCCTGAGCACACATTAATTTTTTTTTAAAAAAGGTTATCAAGTTTTGGCAAATATTGTAATATTTTCCTTTTTAATAGCACACGAAAGAGACCAAAGATGCAACCTTAAGTGATTTCTTAGAACTCTTAGTATCACTTTGCAAGTTTTGAAGCATGCTAAACCCATGCATGATGCTGCATAGTATGAAAGAAAGGAAACATTTTAGTAGTAGATATAACTAAGGCTTCGTTTGAGACGGCTTTCTTACTGCTTCTTAAAATAACTTTTTAGTACAAAACTTAAAATTTTTTAATTAGAAAGCTGCTTTAAGCGGTAAGAAAGCCATCTCAAATGAAGCCTAAATCAACTGATGCTCATCACAAAATAACAGTTGTCAAAATATAACCTCTCACTGGAGAGTGCAAGCTTAGTATCCTTGGTATGAATCCGTTCTATATTGTTCCGGAGATGATGACTAAGAGCAAAACCAACTATTTTATCAACACCTATTGAACAGAATTGCATGTTAAAAGTAGGAACATATGATTATTGAGGGGGAAAAAAAAGTGAATCATCTGTGTGTAAACGTATTCCTTACTTTCACTGCTAAGAGTTTGATCCTTGATGCTAATTTTTTCTAGATCATTGCACTGAAGGCCATTGCGGCTTAGGAACTGTAAAGCACAGGAGTTCGAGAATAAATAGTTGAAGACAAAGGTTTCAATGAACAAGAGGAGTCAAATGGATAAAAAACCTTTAGAAAAATAAGATAAATTCCAAACAACTATAAATAGTGAAGAAGTTCAAAAAAGTATGAACAAAGAACTGATAAAACTAAAAGCACAAAATCATGGATATGGAGTTCGAAAATGAAACAAAAAAATATAATAAAATAAAATAAAACAGCAGATTTGTCATAGTTGTGTAAAACCAGAAGTATGACACAAGTTTCTAAGATTTACTTATCAAGTAAAGGTCTAAAAACTTATCTTGGAAGTGCCTATCCTATTTTTACCAAGTAAAGACACAAGTATATCAAGGATATACTCAAAGGATGGATGATGGGCATGCTGAACATTTAAGGATAGTTTTGGAGGCATTAAGAAAAAACACAGCTGTATGCAAAATATTCAAAATATGAATTTTGGTTAAGTAGTATTTCCTTCTTAAGGCATGTTATCAGTGGTGAAGGAATTTCAGTAGACCCACAGAAAGTGAAAGTAATTGTGGAATGGCCTACACCAAAGAACGTTAAAGGGGTTCGTAGCTTTTTAGGATTGGCAGAATACTACAGAAGATTTGTTAAAGATTTTCACAAATTGTTGTTCCTTTGTCCAAGCTGATGAGAAAGGAGGTTAAGTTTGAGTGGACTGCTGAATGTGAGAAGAGTTTTCAGGTATTGAAGATGCATCTAACCACAACACCAGTATTGACACTTCCTTCAGGAAAAGAAGGATTTCAGATTTACAGTGATGCTTCTTTGAAAGGTTTGGGATGTGTTTTAATGCAAAATAGAAAAGTGATAGCATATGCATCGAGACAATTGAAACTCCATGAATGGAGTTATCCCACTCATAATTTAGAGCTAGCTGCAGTGGTATTTGCTTTGAAATTTTGAAGACATTATCTGTACGGGGCAAGATGTGAAATTTTCCATGAAAGAAATATGCAGTTGCAGCGCTACCAAGATATTTTTTTATACATTCATATTAAGCCTTCAAGGCCTTTAACAGAGCAAATTCATTGATAAAAGCATAAAGCCGATGATGGGCTCGGTCCTCTGTCGACAAGTAGACAATCAACAAGGTCCGACTAGCAAAATAAAATTAGCCACAAATACCCCAATGATGTCCATGTTGATAGAAAATTTTAACCGGAGGGGACCTTAAATATCTAAAAATGCATCCCAAATTACCAATTGCCCATAAAATCCAAAATTTCAAAAATCACCCCAAAATCAAAATACTTAAAATGAAATAAATCATTAAAATGCTTCAAGTAAAATACACATCCACCCTCCACAATAGTTTGCCGATGTGGACAAATCTGAAAAACACTTTAGCTCACAAAGAGCAAATGTCTGATAGAGAATATCACTAGGATTCATTCTCAATCCATCTCTTGTCAGTAAGGACGTGGCACGTGTCCTCTAACGGTGGTTTCGCCGCCAAATGACATCACAGGTAAATGGTTATGACTGGGACCCTCTAACCGGGTGGTTTTGCTGCAAAATGGCACCATTAAATTATGGTCATGATAAAAGCCCGTATAGTCCCAACGGCATTAAATCATTGAGTAATGAATCAATAGGATATGATCGATAGGGCACAAAGCCCTCTGTTAGCTAAAGTGGTTTCAAATTTGCCCCCTTAGACAAATAATCACCCCAAATTTATAAGGTACCTTTGGACGAAGCAACCTATGGCTGCCGACAAGGATCCTTCTGTCTAGTTGGGTCAACTACATTCTATGGCTAAATAGACTAGGGATCATAATGACCCGCGACGACAAAATCATGGGATCTTAATCGGTACCATCATCACTACCCATACCATTCGTTTTAACTGCAAGGAGATAAATGTCAAATTTTAAATATAAAATTTTCAAATACCAAATTATGTTGCTACTATATGCCGGATACTATGTATATGTTTGACAACTAGCCTTAATCGGAAGTTCTCTCTTATTACCGAGAGGGATAATTAACTATAAGGGCTTATGCCTATAGGAAACCTTAACTCAGATCATAAAGTCCTCACAAAATGAGTGTGAAATATCTTAGTAATGTGTTATTTAAAACCCAACCTGCCTTCTGAAAATTTGCCTCGAAACTAAGTAGTTAAAACTCTCCTCGACGACCCGAAAAAGATAGAAAGGGTACGCAGTGAGGCCAAGGCAAGAATTTTCGAAGCTCACACAATTATTCACACTTTTCTACACCTTCATTTTAACTTGATTTTAATGTAATATTACATTTATGCTCTTAAGTCCTATTCATTTGGTTCATTAAGTCCCCTGTTATTGAAAATTTTAATAGCCTCCAAACATCTCTCGCACATAGGGGAGACATCACAAGGAAATTGGGCATGCCCACCACAGCAAGAAACGCGCATTTGATCGACATCCTAAAAAACTATAGCTAAATTTTTTTAATACAATCATGCAAAGAAAGAGTTTTGCAATAAATATGAATTTCCAACCATGCTAAGAAAAGTGAGCACAGGTTTACCTGTTGCATCACGAGCGTCGTCCAAGAGTTTCCCCGGCCATGCTAAGAAAAGCGTTCATGGGCTCCACTCATCACATCGAACGTGCAACAAATGGGATTTTAGGAGCTTCTTAAGGGTTTTTGCATTTTCTAGCTGCACGATAAGATCAATGCAGTTGATAGCAACGAGATGAAATTTATGAGGGTGAATACACACAAAAAAAGATTCTCTCCCTTATATATATAAGAAACGAAAGATAGAGAGAGAAAGAGAGTGGTTAGAGAGAAAGCAAGGTAAAGAGATTTTTTGTTTCACAGAAAGAGAAGGAAGAGAGGGAGAGGTAGAAAGAGAGTTAGGGAAAGAATAAAAGTGAGGACGAAAGAATTAGAGATAGAAAGGGGTAGAGATAGAGAGAAAAAGAGAAAAAAAATAGGGACTTTTTATTCCCTCTCTGTGAGGTGGTTATGGTCGAGAAATGAGCATATCGCAAGGGGAATGGGTTGTTGTATTGATATATGCAAGTTTGAAGGAATAGGAAGATAGGCTCGCTAAGAGCGGCTTAGGAATAGGGAGATCGGTTATGGTTGGAAACTAGTGGCTAATAGTGAAGAAGATGCCAACGCAAGCAATAACCGAAGTAAATACTTCAAATTTGTAAGGAAAATTCGGGTGGTTTAGGCAGGTTACGAACAGAGGCAGTGAGAGCTTGGCAACTCATTGGTGAAGGAGAGAGATAATGAGGGAGCTTAGGACAGAGTGATCCATGTGATATCGTGCAGGAGAGTTTTAACTAGTTAGTTTCGAGGCAAATTGAGACATACAATTTGGATGAGAGAGAGAGAGAGAGAGAGAGAGAGAGAGTGAAACTGAGGTAAGGGAGAATACGACGTTGAAGATTTAGGTCACGTAGGGCTAGGTTGGGCAAGCTATTGGGGATATAAAAGAGGAAAATGGAAGTGGTGGCAAGAGTGGAGTGAGAGTAATCACAAGAAGGGTAGATCGCATGCGGTTTCGACTTATGGGCTCTTTAGTTTGAAGTAAAATGAGTAGAAAGTATTCCAAATACAATGGTTTGAGAATATTGGTGTTTGGTTTGAAGTAAAGCAAATATAATATATCATTTTGGTGCATTTGGAGTTCACCTTCTAGTTCAATTTTGTATATTTGAAATTCCTCCATTTTGGGTGATTTTCAAATACACCATAAATTCATCACCATTTTTGTTGCCCGCCACCAGCCGTTACACCACTAGCCGTCACACCATCGACATCGGCACTCTGCCGCCAACCGCCACTCACCTTTGGCTACTATTGTGGCCAACACCCACCGTCGACAGTCTTCACCACTAGCCTCTAGTAGTCGCTACCACAACCACCCACCTATGGCCGCCACCACTGCCCGCTGGAGGCCACCATTAACCACAACTCGCCTCCACCACCATGGTCATTGTCGCAACCACCCAACAACACTGGCCACTACCCGCCATCGCCAGCCACCACCACCCATCGACGACCACTACAGCCCCGTTACCAACCACTAACCAACACCATTTTGAAATTTGCATTACAATCATTTTACTTCAAGTCAAACAAAAAAAAAATAATCATCTACATTTATTTTACACTCATCCAAAACTCCAAAGCATTTCAAATATATTGTATTCCTTTTACATTGCATTCATTTTACACCACATCTCTTTTTCATCCAACCAAATAGCCCCTTAGTCGCACGGGTTGGGCAGGAGATGGGGGAAAATGGGCTTAGGCTAGGTCATGCAAGCCGTAGAGTCAAGACGAGGCTTTTTTTGTCTTTGGCGATCAGCCAATTGAACGAATTGCAAAGGAGGATAATTCATGTGCATGCACTCTAGCTGCTACAGTACAGGTGATTCCAAAATTTCAAGTTTTGATATGATTTGATTTTTTTTTAATATGTTTAGGACAAAAGAAAATAAAATGATATTTTATAACTTCAAAAAAAATAATGCTAAATTCTTTTTTAATTAATATTAATATAACTTTAAAAAAAGTATATATATATGAAATTAATCATTTAATATTCATATTCAAAATTAGAAATGCTAATATTTTCAATTAAATTTTAACAAAAAGAATAAAAATTAAGTTTAAATCTTTTCTTTTAATTGTGCATGAATTCCTCTCACCAAACTTGCTTGATCACGCACATCGAACTTCATCCTTGCTTTATGCACGGGTAAACTTCTCATCATTTATCTCATGCAACAAACCGAGCAAACATGTGTCCTTTCCAACTAATTCTGATGTTCTAGGAGTGGCGGAGCAGTCAATTTTGCAAAACAAATGGCATTCAGGTGATTTCATAGAAGGTCCCGCCCATAGTCCATTTGCTCTCAATTGTGTTCGCTTAAACCAATTAAGGGGTCCCTTTTTTAGGTAATTTCCATGTTCAAGATGCATCGAAGTAGCCCCCGTTTTACGAATGAAAGGCATCATATTCATCATTCGACACTTTCATCATGATTGATTGGTGCGATTGCAGAGTTCATATTGAGGTCAACACCTAGCAGTATAAGAAATTAGCTGCCACTTGCTCTACGGCATATTTAATATTATGCAAAGGTTTATTTAAGCAGAACAATCATTCATTAAAGCCTTTTTAGCAATATTATAAAACTATCAAGAACGAAGCAAATCTAAATCACAATTTTTATATTAAAATAGAGTATATGCACAACAAATAGCTAGATAGCACATCTTAATGATCTCTTGACATCCCAGAAAATATTCTAATCCACTTTATAATTTTTCAGAGAGCGGACCATAAAACTTCAGAAAATATTTTCAAACGCAACAAAAAATTTCATAAATTTAGCCCAAGTTCTTGAGCCATTTACATTATTTTTTCCAAAAGCAGCGCACTAAAAATTAAAAATATCATCACTAATGTAACAAAAAAGATTCAATATCAAAGCCCCAACAAGACAATTGACATATTAAATCGAAAACATAAAAACTTCCAGTAGCAAAACCATCAAGCAAGAACAAAAAAGCATAAGCTGGATTTAACTTGAAAGCCAAAGACAACTACAGAAAATATTCTAGTAAATAATAGAAAAACAGCTTTCAGTTATCATATAACATGAATGTCTAGCAAAGCTTACTGAATGGATACTGGAATTATTGGATTGAGCTTTAAGAGTCTCAACATCAAGGTCCAATTGTCGCTTCCAATCCAAAAGTTGGGCTTCATCCTGTGAACATTTTTTAAGCGTTGTTGGGAACGAAATTCACAGGAAAGAACGAAGAATGTACATGTTGAGATTGTATGTCTAATGTCACACCTGTGGAAGCTGAATTGTCACTTTATTTGGGAAGAGCCTAGTCAACTGTTTCATTGCCTTGGGCATTTCTTTATTTCTTTCGTGCATCCTACTGAGATTATCCTGCAGAACCAAGGCATACTTCTAAATAAGCATCAAAAGAGGCTTACTCCATACTAAGATATAGAATACATTTCTAAGATAATTTTTAAATTAACTAAAACAAGGACGCATTGCAAAGCTTCTATGGGCATTTTAGCACATCCCTTTCTTCCACCATCTATAAAAAATAGCCATAATCCTAAACAATTAACAAGACAGTGAATAAAAAGCCAAGGCAACATTACTAAAGGCAATTTTTACAGGCTATATTAGACATGTTTAGTGCATATATAAAGAACAATCAGAAATCTTCTTCAGAATGTCCACAGTGATAATAATATCTAAAACATAAAAGTTTGTTTTGTCAGCTCCAAAAATTCATGTCCGATTCTTCTGAGAGAGTTTTAATTCCAGGCCAAATTTTTAGAAGGCATATCAGGCTGCAAATAAAACACTACTAAGAGATTTCGCCTCATTTAACAAGAACATTATAATTTGATTCTAGATTTCTAATAGGCTCAAATCCCTATGGTTAATAATCTCTCCCAGCAACAAGAAAACCCTTCAATTAAGTCAACTCAACAAATGTTATGTACAACCATCACTTGATTAAAGTAAAACGTTTTTCGAGGATTAGATGGGGGCATTTAAAGAATATTAACCAAAATATTTTTGTGAGTTTAAAAAGGCGGCCTTCCGACGACCCAGTTAAGAGAGTAGAGGTATTAGATTTGACTTGTGTTAAGAAAGGTAGGGGTAGACCTAAAAAGACTTGGTTAGAAAATATTAGGAATGACCTTTCTTTATTAGATTTAAACGAGAATTTGGCTTTTAATAGGACACAATGGAGAAAAAGGATTCATGTAGCCGACCCCACGTAGTGGGATAAAGGCTTGATGTTGTTGTTGTTGTTGTTGGAAAAATATGGGTTATAGCTGTGACTATAATATAATAGTGTCATTTTGCAAAGAAACCACTCGATCAAAGGGGTGATCCTAAGCATTATTTAGTTATGCCATTTAATGGCATAACCATACAAACACATAAAGGGATTATTAAATTTGTCAAGGGAAGGTGGTTCGGCAAAAGGTACGAGTTTATTAACTTAAACAAATGAAAGAAAAAGTAGATAGAGTAACTTGAAAAAATGACTGAAAGTAAAGCATGAAAAATAAGTAAAAAGATGACAGATTTTACTGGGAAAGCGAAATCAAGCAGAGCCGTTTGGCTGCTTCCAAATTTTGTGAAAAGAAGCCCACCGGGATGTGACTGCGAGACAGACAAGTCAGAAAATCATGCATGATCAAATTACTGAAAAAATTTTTAGGGTTAGCTAGTGGAATATGGCAGAAATTGATTAGTGAACCAAATACCTTTTCTTTTCGGTTATCCATCTGTATATTAGAGCCGATCAGCAGAACACCTGCAGGAAGAGATTCAACTTTGTTCTTGAAAGATAGATATGATTCTACACTACCACCCATAGATTTCTCCACGTCCTTCAAGAAAACAATCAGAGGCCCGTTTTTACTTTCTTCGGAAACCACCTGTACCCAAAAAAAAATGTGAAACTTTGAGAAGTAATAAGAAAACATTTAGAAACTTGAGATAAATAGAGGTATACAGCATAACCTACCTCTATTAGTTCATTGATAGCAAGCTTTTCAGAATCGTCACTTCCAGAGCAGTCCAGTCGAAGCATGTCAGCTAGAAGGAGAAAAGTCAAGTACATTAGAAAATTGGGCAAGCAATTTTTAGTTATTACTACAAAACAAATGCCAGCTGAGAATTACCACCGCAAAAGAACCCATGATCCTCTTCACAAAGCCCCCCAAGATCATTACCTTCAACTATCTGCCTATCAAATCTCACCCCAACTTTGGATGATCCATTTTCTTCAAATGCTAGCATTACTTTACCACGAAACCCATGATGTGGACCTCTGCAACATAGTCAGTTTATTTGCATAGCCAGGAATATGTGGAGGGGAATAACGCCAAAATATGAAGTAAGCAAAACATAAAAAGCTTCCACTGAATCAAAAACTGCAGGCTTAGTTTTTAAAACAAAAAAACTATCACTTATAATGATCTCAAAGAATTAAACAGACGCATGCACCTTCATGGAAAATGTGTATATGCAATTAAGCAAAATAAGCATTTATTATGATTTAGATCTCCAAGAGCTCAGAATGTCATAAAGATAGGTGACCTGGCAAACCCGGTAGATTACATAATTTGCTTTCAAAGTGAAGAAGAATTTAAACAAATGCTACAAATGAAAAGCAAGGCCACGCATATTCTTAAAAAGGATGTGCTACTAAGGTTCAACCACCAAGGTCTAGCAAAATCAACTGAAAATTTACACAATACTCCTCTTTCACTATGATCAAAACTATAACTCGAAACAAAAATTTATGAGAAACAATATAATATTTGAAACAAATATATTGGCTCCTTTTGATTGCTGTAATATTACCCACCAAACAATAATTTGCAATGTAATTTCTAAGTGTGCACATACGCCACATAGAAGCTAGACATGTGAAAAAAATAAAACCTTAAACGGTTAAGAGTTGATTGTCAAGTACATCAGGCTGTAATTTAAAAAAGAGAGAAATTTAAAGCCTAGACCATACCTCTGAGATGGCAAATGTAGTCCAGAGGAAAGCATCTGACCTACATACTTTACTCTATCTCCTAAAGAAACACAATTAACAACAAAATGAGCACCATTTAGTTGAAAGTTGAGTGGAGAAACAACATAAAATAAATCAATTACATTATGTATAATATATTAATATGAAGAACTAGCACAGCCATCTCTTCTAAATAATACTTCTAATTTATGTAGAACAGAAGGTATTCACATCACCATATCTTTTAAAGGTAGATACCTTCTTTGAATGTGCAACTCTTTGAAGATGCAGTTGAGGACTCCTGCTTTGGTAAGGATTGGCAATTTAAACTAGATGTTCCTACAATATCAGCCTCCACACTGGAAGCTGGTCTTCTATGATGAACAGCGTCAGTCAATGCAGATCTCTGCTTAGTAAAGCTAGCTGATTTTTCGGTCCTCCCACCTTCTTTAAGAGATTCCAAATCCTTCGATGATGAAACCTGAAATCAATTTTCATCGTGTGAAAGGAAAACATCTTATATGATCAAGCTAGCATCCGTAATCTTTGAAAGAATTTGCATTGCCAATGTCATTATCTGGTTTAAATGTACGTGGAAAACAACAGGAAGAGTTACAGCAAAAGACTTCAAATAGTTTTCAAGAAAATAATTGTACAATAAAATTACAAGGGGAGAATTAGAGTAAACTTACACCCGGTAAAATCAAGGAATCTATTATAAGCAATCTAACATCATAGTGCTTGGCCAGTGCCTTTGTCAAATTTTCTTGATATATTTCAGATCCTACACTCAACAGACATTTCCTCAGATAATTATGAAAGCTTAGAGAAGATTAAATATAAAATGAAAATAAAAGAGTAGTCTCACACCTGAAGGACCAGAAAGTAGAATTCTTGGATTTAAGGATGAAATGTTAGCAGAATATTTTGCATATTCTTCGAGTTCCAGATGAATATATCCACATGATAAGAGAGCATTTTTTGTTATTTCACTGGATAAAATTGCAGAAAGAAAGCGTCAAAATCAAATCCAGCAGCCAATAAAATGGATATAGATTAGATGATACTTCTATTTGTCCTCCCTATAATTTTTCCATCAATTGTAGATATAAAAAATTGTACTCACTATACTATAATTCTAATTTTAATCAATGCACCATCATACACAACAAATTAATTCTAATGTACTCAATCATATGCCTCGTTGAAATTTTGAAAAATAAGTCATAGGACGATCCAATTTGTGCTCTATATACTCAATCCGCTAATTGTTAAGACAGTAATTGGTTATATCATGAAACTACTATACATTGTGTGGGATTCAAAAATTCAGACCTCGGCTCTACTGAGAGATTTCACATGACTCCAGGTCAAATTTTTAAAAAGCTGATTATGTTGAAGATAAGAGACTACCTAGAGATTTTGTTCTCATTTCGCAATAACTTTATCATCTGATTTCTAATTTTCCATAAGCACAAGACACTATTATTAATTAGCATCCAGATGATGAAACAGAACTTTTGATTTAGGCTAGTTATTAGAAGCAAAGTGATGAGGACATCGACAGACGCTACCGACATGTTTATCGCCGGCGAAAGCGCAGATCGACGGCCACGATTCAGCGTCTCTACTTTTGATCTAGATGACATGATGTATTTTATTATTATTGTATTGTTTGATTTACTGTTTTCCCATTTTACCCCTGTGGGGAGTTATGTTTCTTTGTAGCCCGGAGGGCAATTTAGTCTTTTTCACTTTTTATGAGTCAAGACCTATATATAGTGGTCTCTTGTATCATTTTGATTTTAATGAAGAATTGAACGAAATTTGTGTTTTTTCTACTTCGTCTTGCATGAGTGCTTGAGAAGGAGGAGAGCTCACGAGGAGCAATTCGCAAGGCCCACCAATCGTTGGAAGAGTCCTCGATTCGTGGTTAGAATTTTCTTTATCTTCTCACTCATTTTCATATTCACCTTCCTTCCATCGTCCACAAAACAGCCCTCCCACTTCCCCTTGCCGCCGCCCATTGAACATCCACCACCGGCCACATCCCTAGCTCCGGCCGACCACCCCACCAGCCACCCCCACCTTAACCGGCCACCCCATCCCACGGCTATTTTGAATTTTGAAATTTGAATTTCAAATTTCAAAATCTTTCCTAATTTGGAACACCAAATTTGGAAAGTTTTCATGACAAAATTCTAATTTCAATTTGATTTTAAATTGAGATCTTGAATGAGTCGCCACATCACTATCCTAATTTAGAAAATTCTCCCCTTAAAATTCCCCTCCTCTCCCAAGCATGCCGCCGGCCACCTCATGGAGGATTCCCCATTAAATGCGACATTAATGCCTTGACCGTTTTGGACTCCTAATTTGAACTCAATATTTTTTCCCTCCCAATTTACTTAAAACTGAAATTACAATCAGTTTTAATTTGGCTAACCCAAATTCCCCCCTAAGCATGTCGCCGGCCACCTTTTAATGAGCTCCTTTAATGGCTCATTAAATCCCCTCTTAACTCCATCCTAATTTGAACTCTCTTTTCAAATTTTTCCCTCCAATCTTACTAAAATCTGATAATTAACTTCAGATTTTTGTAAATTGCTCGCCTCCTCACCCCACCTAATCTCCCTCACGCCTTGCACCCGCCTCCCTTCTTCCCCCCTTGGCCGAATCTCTTCCTCCTTGGAAATCCCGCCGGCCACTCCCCCCTTTCCTTGAAGAATCCTCCACGCCAAGCATGTATGGCGGATCCGGAGCTTGAGTGGGGGCTAATATCCAACGCCGACGGAAGCATCAACGTCCTACGGTCACCTTGCTTCGACGTAGGGTTTGAAGACGAAACTACCGTGGAGGAGTACTTGGAGAGAGTTGTGCCAATCCTTGCAAGCATCTACGACCAAAAACTTTCGAAGCACACTTGGAGCCTCGACGGTCGCCTACGACTTCCATCCCAACCGGCAACTTTTCCTCCGACAAAGTTCTTCGGCGCCCTCTCCCTAGTGGTAACTTCTTTCATCGCTTGGATCTTCTATCTCCGCCAAAAGTCCACTACCTCTTGAGTGATACGGCCCCAAGGTGAAATTCTTATTGTTAAACGTTGGGTTTTGTTATTGTACTTTGCATATTAAATTCTCCTAGAACTTGGATTGAATCGGCTTGGTTAATCTCTATTGCGAATCTTTGGCCTAAGCAAGTTGATATTTTCAAATTCCTAACTCAATTTTATGTGCTAGTTTTAAATTCATAAGAAGCAACACTTTAATCTTTTCTTTTTAAATTTCTAAGCAAACTCCTCGTAGTTTCACATCACAAAGTGCTTGGTGTACAGTAGCTCCAAATTTGAATAGGGTTCGAAATTTTAAAAACTTACACTTCAAAAAAGTAGTTGGGGGAATGATGACGAACCCGATCACGATCACAAGATTCCATCATTCCGGATTGCCATAGTCCCTAGTCTACAAAATCAATAGAGATAGTCGACCGAATTGATCGAAAGATCCTTATCAACAATCATAGGTTGTTTTATTCATGTAAACCTTATAAACCTATGGTGGATATTTGTTCAAGAAGATAAATTAAAATCGAATTTAGTTAATAGAGAGTTTTATGCTCTATAAAGTGCACCTAATAATAAGGGTATTTAGCCATTGGGTAACTTGTGAGCTTTGATCAAGATCATAATTTAATTGTATCATTTCGTAGCAAAACCACCCAATCAAAAAACTCCAATCATAATTGTTTATCTATGGTATCATTTGGCGGCAAACTACTAGTTATACGACATGTGTCACATCCTTACTAGCGAGAAATCATTTGAAAAAGAATCTTAGTGACAAGCTCAACATGACATCGACTCTTTGTAAGTTGAAGTTAATCTTAAACTTGACACACTCGACAAACATTTCTGCAAAATAGAGGAATTTTTCTTTTTAAGTTTAAGGTAGATTTCACTTGAAATATTTCAAATTTTGTAAATCTTTTTTAATTTTCATATTTTTGTCTGGATGTAGCCAAAAAATGATCTGGATTAGGATTTGGGGCTTGATATTTTTAGCCAACCCAACAATCATCAAGGTATTTGAATATGCTATTTTATTATTTGAACATTTTCAACTCTATTCAATTGCTAATATAGAATGTGAGCTATCACATGAGTGAAAAACTCGAGAGTTTATATTTTTTTTAACGAATTTCTTTTGTAAAAGACATTAAAGGCTTAATATAATCTTAAAAAATAAATAAACATCTTTGTGGATTTTACAGTTGTACGCTCGTATGAAAAAGTAGGATTTATAGTGGACTATTTGACGCTTAAGTTTTTTAGAAATATAAAACATAAATTTACTATTTATTTTAACTTGTGCAATACTATTAAACCTCAAATTTCAAAGTTTTATATATTTAGTTAGGACATAAAAGGGTATTTTGAACTTTCAAAAGAGAATTAAAATTAAAATTTGATTGTGAAATTTCAAAATATTTGTGTTCTTCTCGAAGTAAGAAATTTAAAATTCATTTATTTCTAGTGCACACATAATTATCAGACATTACGTTTATGGGTTTGACATGTTTGTTGAACATTACAATTTCAAATGCATCATGTACTTGCACGATTTTCAGTATACTTGCATGACGCAGCTGCATAGTTTTCATTGCACTTGATGCACTTTCACGCTTCTCAATGTGTTTTAGCAAAATTTGAAAGTCGTCTTGTGATATTTTCAAATTACTTCAAAATGTTTGAATTTGATTATTTTGCATTCCATCACAAAAGTTGCACAAGGTTTGAGTTCTTATATAAGAATTGGAGATTATTTCGTCAAACTCACATTAGCGTTGAAATTATCTAAATTTTTAATGATTGGGCTTATATTTTGTGACTAGAATACTTGAAATTTTTCTTCTTTGAGTTTTAACTGATTTTCTTATGTTCGCTTGCATGAAAATGATGAGGATCCAATGGCAAAGAAAATAAATTTAGGATAAGTTCAAATGTTGGAACAATCTTCACACCATTTTTTTATCATTTTAAAATTATTATTTTTAATGACTCGTGTCCCACAAGAATTTACATCTCCATTTATAAATATGGGGAAGAGACTAGTTTATTTCATGCATTCTAGGTTAGCTAGAGTTCCTAACTATAGGTTTCTTGAAAGTTAAAGAGTGTGGCAGTGAGATTTCGCTCGCATTCTTAGCGAACTTCCAAGTCTTTATTAATTCCCTGTAAGTCATGTATTTTCAGTTTATTGCTCGACATATTGTTCCATTTAAAGTTGAATGTATTACATTTTAAAAAAATACAGTTAGTATTTTGTATGCTATAGTTTTGCAACATACCTGATTTGGCACACATGCTATATGTGTTTAGCAGGTTGATCCATGAAAGAACTATTAGGATATAGTGAAATGGGTTATAAGGTATCTCAATGGAACATATGAATTGGGGCTTAAGACATACATGTGCAACTCGGTGGCAACTCCACATGAAAAGATAGTTGTAGGGAATGCAAGTTCTAATTTTGCAGCAAATGTTGACACTAGAAAGCCATTGGCTTGTATCGCATTCAAAGTCTTTGTAAACATAGTTGGAAATCTTGTTTGCAACTTGCGATGGTTCTATCTACTATAAAATAAAAGCACATATCTTTGAAACTATGAAGGACGCATTTTGGAGAGGGGCTGATGAGCGTTTAGCAGGCAAAGATTATTTATTATGGTAATTAAGGTGTTGTATGTTTGTCCAAAAGATCATGTTCATCATGATAAAATAAAGCATGTGGATGTGAAATTTCATTTCATCAGGGATGTCATGATCAAAGAATTAGTGAATATCATAAAGATTTCAACAGATCATGATCAAACGTACATGCTAACAAAGAAATTGCTTGCAAGTAAATTACCTTACTGTTTGCAGATGTTGAATGTAGTTCCAAGTTGAGTAAGTTTGATATAAAACAAAGTTTAGTACAGTTTTATATCAATTACTTAGTATTTGCTTGTTGTTTGTATTTGTAACTAACCCGACATACTTAATTTGTAACTGCTGTAGTGTAGGGTAGTTGTTTTATAATGCAATTTAATATTGTATAGCCTTTTGTGTGGTGTTAGGTGCTAGGTATCTCATATTTGTTAACACATTTTATGAAATCAATTCCAATATTTTTTCTACTAGGTTTTATTTCCGTATACTTATCTTCCTGTTAAGATAGATGCCTATGAACTACTCTAGAAGAAAAACAAAACAGTTATTCAGCCCGACTCCATGATCAGTTACTTCAACCACTGGAACTGGAAATCCTCTTGTATCCTATTGCTTTAATGGCTTATCCAACCACAATTGCCATAGTCGAGAATTCATAGATTTTCAAGGGAGATCTGCTGCATGTTTTGATCTACTGTAGCTGTCCAGAGCAGAGGGAGTAGAATGAATCTGTTGTTTGGAACCAGAACATTGTGAAGAAGGTTGAATCGAACCTGAACATTGTGAAGAAGGTTGAATCGGATGAAAGAAGATTGGAGGTGAAGTGTCACGTCAACATCATGAATTTCATGAAAGAACGAGGCCAAATGGACAGGAGAAACTCTGATATCAACAAAGGTTTCAATCAAGATGGGTTCAAAGGTTCTCTTCACTTCACCCTTCTTGTTATTACACAAATATATAAACCAATTGTCACTAATGATTTCTAGCGACAACCGCAAATCATTAGGATAAGGTTAATGATCAGCAGAGAGCATAAAACCAGAACCTTAATGGAAGTAACCAGGAAAAAAAAAACCAAGTAAAAGCAAAATAAAAAAGTTAAGTATGAATCTTACACCAAATGAATGATATAGAGAATTAAAGGAAAACAAATAAAACGCTTTGGCCACATGATGTTCATCCAAATATACTCATACTAAATTCGCAAACAAATTTTCATGTCAGTTGATAGTATTAGAAAAAATAATAATAATTCAAAAGATTCACTAGAATTTGGGTAAAAATATTAACAGCTCCACCCTTAGCCATGCACAATAACAACAAAATTGAAGTACATGCACAAGAATGCACGGTAAAAAGGTGGGATGGTGCAGAATATATGGCAGCAACTGCAGAGCCTAGACATAATTCTTGTGTTAGCAAAACCCAGAGGACAAACTGAAGCTGCAAAAATTAAGTAGAAGGCAAGGATATTGAAGAAGCTGAAATTCAAAGTATTAAAAGAGTAAATATAGCAAATAAACATGTTCAGTATGACAAACATGGCACATCACCAGAAGGCAAGGATGAGTAATGACTACCAAATAAAGAAGGTGAAAATGTAGGAAAAAGAAAAAACAGTTAAAAATTAACCCTCACCTCAGATAGTAAGGAAAATTTTCAAAAGTAACTTGTATAGAACAAGGACTGAGAATCCCCTGTCTAAGACGCTCCTTGAATGTTTGGGATCTAGAATTGGTTAAATTAGCAGCTAAACCTTCTAGATCCTTCTGGAGCTCCCTATGCCCTTCAGAAGTTCTGAAAAGATTGCCACTCAAATCCAGTTCAGCATTAGAAGATTTTTCAAGCATCCGTAGAAGTGGCCTTAATTCGAAATTTGTACCAGATCTTTTTGCCAATTCTGCATCAAAATATGCATCAACACCCAAGCTAGAAACTAGATCTACAGGCACAGTAGCAGAAGCCTTATTTCCATCAGTAACGGCAACCCCATTATGGTCAGTATTACCCCTTAATTGGAAATCACAATCACGTCCAGGAATGGAACCTGATGCAATAGAAGTAGAAGGTAAAGTAGCAGTTTCAAGTCCTTCGTGGTCATTTTCAGCATTAGATGCTGGGGGCGTTCGAGTGACCTCCCCCTTTCTAGGATTAGATAAAGATGCTAGTATTGATGCTCCAGCAAAAGTTGACGAGTCCCCAGATCTGGTTCCACATTGAATTCCATTCACAATTACACCCTACAGATGAGAAATAAAAGTTGAAGGTAATGATTGAGTGATAATTTTCTTGCAAACTGGTTGCTAGAAATGCCAATGAAATTTCTTTCAGGCAGATGCATTCAGCTATAGGAACATAACCAATCAAATAGTAGCATAGGATGCATAAGCAAACGTGGAAAAATAAAAATTATTTCCATGGCCACCACCAATTCAATTTCTTTTAAATTTCCTTCACAGTCACTTCTATAATTCCTTGCCAGATATTTCAAATAAGGATATTTAAGGACCTTGTTGATGAGATTCGAATGGGAAATGGTGACAATTCATCAAAAATGTAAACAATGTAAACCAAAGAAAGAGTAAATATGTCCCAATGCCAGACATTTTCTGAATTCTTTGTATCTGTAATTGGAACGAGTACATAGTTATACACAAACCTACAGAAGAGTTTCGGGTGAGAATATTCATCATCCTTAATGGCAGTTTGACACCTCCAAATATTGAAAAGAGTACCATCAAAGTGATTATGAAAGGGATGAAAATTTCAGTAAAATTGAAAGAAAAGTCAATGAAAGATTAAGAAAGACCACCATAGAACTTAAAGATCAAGAAAGTGAGCCTGGAATTCACATGCACTCCCAATTCTGCATACCTACAAAAATTAATGCAAGTTCCAAGGTATGCCTACAAAAGACTAAGCCACTAACAATACCAACTGGTATGGTAAATAGTAATATTTAAATCACAATTACCCATCACCTCCTCTTCAATGCAGAAATGGAACAGTTAAGAACTTTGGAAACAACGTAGTTTGGTTTGATCGTAATATGCTACATATCTACAATTATTATCATGCTCAAGTAGCACATTCCTAAATTTCTATTCTAGTCCAAAAGTATGCCCTTAAGGAATTAATAGTGCCAAACCGCAAATTAAATAGGAAGTATTTCCATTACAATTGTCCAACAACTTCTCTGCAAAGACAAAATGGAACAGCTAAGAAATTATGAAACAATGTGGTCTGATTCCATCATACGAAGCTAAAGTGCAGTGCAAACAACTCTGATTTTCAATACAAAAAATAAAAAAATGTATTTGATAACTAATTCCCAACTATCTTCACAAAAAGGAGATGTAACATATAGAAGAATAAAGCAGAGGAAATAAACCCCGGCAAAATACAGGTTGACAATAAAGTCAAGCTGAGAAAGAACCATAAATAACTATGCAGAACAGAAAACCCATAAAATTGTCCAAATATCTCAACCTAAACAAGTAAGAAGATCAGAGAATGACAGAAGGGTCATTCAATATTTTTTTTTTTACTTTGCATTTGTGACTAATCTGTGATCAGAACAAAGTTAATGCCATGTATGGATCAAAATAAGATTAGATCAAGCGAAGATTTAACCAAATTTGGCTCGGCTAAAGGTCAAACCAAATGACGTTAAGCTGAACTTGAATATAGGCCAAATCAGTTGAATATCAAATTGATAACAGCCAGCCAAAACTGCAACTTGCACCAATGAATTAAACTTCTTGAAACGCTTGAGGAACTGCATATATTATCAAAGCAGGTATAAGTCAACGCCTATCCTATACCTGTCCGATTCCTGCTCTCACCCAGATCTCCCACGACTTCCCCACGTAGCCCCTACCCAAGAACTCTTCTTCTCCTTCCCTCAACCAAACCCCAACACATAACTCCCCTATCTCCCAAACTCCTCGTTACCTTCTCCTCAAAGCTCCCAGAGCTTCAACACTTTCATCTCCCTTCACGCAAGCCCACTACAGTACAACTCCCAGCCACCCACACCCTCATCCCTCTCATTTTCTCCTTTACCAGCCTCCACCTCAACAACCATCCCTCTTCTCATCTCATCAATTGAAACCCTTCTTCAAACCACAACACCAACAACCCTCGAGACCACCCTCTCCCGCCTTATGTTATCACGTACGTGACTAGCCTAACTCGCTTGTTGATGCGAGCAAAAAATATAGGGGACCCTATATTTTTTTATCACAAAAAGAACAACCTTTCTAGATACAAGATAAAGACATAAAATGCTTAAAACAAACTTTAATATTATAAAAATGAAAGACTTACAAACTTTGACTCAAGCAAACTTGACTCAAACAAGACACCTTAAAATTGCTTCACTTAGAGAAGAGGGATACAGGTGGAGTGGCACTTGCGAAGAGACGAAAGAGGTTAGAAGCCCGAGAAGAAAGGTTGGAAAGAGCTCGCAAGATTTTCGGAGGGGATGAGAAAGAAGACGGACAAAGCTCGCAAGCTTTTCCATGAAACCCACAGGTTTACATTTCCAAAAATCACATCACATAACATATCTAAAACATTACAAACAACTCCTATATATAGGCATGAGAGGAGAATACAAATAGCCACAACATTAATTTAAAAGCTTATTTAAATAGGGAATATAAAAATCCAACAGTCACTTCCCGGAAACGAAGCACCAAAGCCACGGAAAAGCCCCCATTCATTCACGGGAAATAGCCCAGCCAGAAACCGAAGAGGCAGCCGCAAGAACCAAGGAGCCAAGACATAGAATTCCAAGAGCCATCCACGGGAAACCAAGAGCCAATCCGTGGGAACCTGATGCAATCAAAAATTTGGGAGAGGGACCCAAATTTTTTATCACAAAAATAAAAGACTTCCTATATAAAAGAAATACTAAAATTGCTAAAGAAATCCACCAAATTCTAAAAGACATAAAAATAAGAAACAAATATACTTTTATAATATTAGAGAAAACTATTACATTTCATGACACTTACAAACTTGACTCTTAAAATTAAACGACTCAAGCAAGACACCCTAAAGTTGCTTCACTTAGAGAAGAGGGATACAGGTGGGGTGGTCACTTGCGGAGAGACGAAAGAGATTAGAAGCCGAGACGAAGGTTGGAAAGAGCTTGCAAGATTTCCAGAAGAGGTGGAAGGTGGACAAAGCTCTCAAGCTTTTCCAAGAAGAACCCGCAGGTTATGGCTTCCAAAAATCACTCACATAACATTCAACTATTCAAAACATTACATAACCCCCCATATTTATAGGTATGAAAGGGGAATACAAAAGGTCACAAACACTTAATTAACACATAATTAAAAGCATAGAAATCTCCCCCCAAAGCTCTCGGTTTACACCCAAACCAGGAACCAAGGAGACGGCCACGGGAGACGAAGGGAACCGCACGGACCGAGAGCCACAGCCGCGGGAACCGAAGGAACCGCACGGAAGAAGGAGCCAGCCGTGAGATCCCAAGAGGCATACACATAAAACTAAAAGTCATGAGGAAACCAAGGAGTCACCTCATGGGAAAAGCAAATTCTTGGAATTCCAAAGGCCGGTTTGGAATTCCAAGAGACAAACATTAAACAAGCATAAAAAGCATAAAACTATATTAATTAAAAGATAATAAATGAACTAAAATGTTAGCTCATAATGAGCTAACCCTTAGTTCAATAAATGAACTAAAGTTTCAATGCATGCGGGGCGAAAAATACAGGGAGCCTATACCCTTCGCCCACAATAGACACTTGAACGGACTTCTACGGACGACTTGAGAAAGAGACGAGAAAAAAACGCGAACAACAACAAAATAGGAAGAAAAACTCCTATATTTCAAATAAAATTAAACAAAGAAATTACAACGACGACTTACAAACAACACGACAGACCACCTAAATTGTGCACTTTGAGACAGAAGGATACAGGTGGAGTGGGCAACTTGCGGAGAGCGAAGGAATTGAGAAGCCCAGAGAAGAAAGGGGGGAGAGCCCGCGAGGGATTTCCGAGGAGGATGAGGAAGAAGGTGGAAAAAGAGTCCCGCAGGATTTTGTCTGCAGCAACCGCAGGTGAACTGATTTTTTCCAAAAATCAATTATCATTCAACTATTCAAAACTTTACATAAGCCCCCCATGATTTATAGGTAGTGAAAGGGAATGACAAAAGGACAACAAACATTATTTAAGCATTTTAAAACCACATAAAAACTTCCCCCAAAGCTCTCGGTTTAAACCCAAACAGGAAACCAGGCAGACAGCACGGGAGGACGAAGGAACCGCCGGACCGAAGAGCCACAGCCGCGGGGGAAACGAGGAGGAAACCGCGACGGAGAGGAAGGCCAACCGTGGAGTTCCGCAAGGGGCATACACAAAAAAAATAAAGCCCATGGTGGAAATTCAAGGAGACCACCATGGGAGAAAAGGAATCTTGGAATCCAAAGGCCGGTTTGGAATTTCCAAGAGGAGCAAACATTAAACAAACATTAAAAAGCATAAATTATTTTAATTTAAAGATATAATAATGTAACTAAAATGTTAGCTCGCATAATGAGCTACCCTTCAAAAAAGAACCTTAGTTCGCTCATAATATGAACTAAAGTTCGAGCGCTCAATCAATGAATCTAAAAAAGTTTAGTCTCACATATGAATAACTTACTAGACTCAAGGAATCCTAAAAATAGTATGGAGTTTTATTTTGGAGCTAATGTGTTCGACCGCTCCCTCCCTTGGTCTCAACAATCAGTTCAGCTCAGTGAATGAGACTAAAAGTTTAGTCTTCAGAATATGAAAAATAACTAACGTAGACTGCGAAGGTGAAGCCAAAAATGATTTTATTTGGACTAGGGTTGTAGCCCTCCCCTTTGTCTACATCAGACCGATGAGTCCAAGCACGGAAACACAACCAACATTTGGGATTTCCAAAATGCCATTTTGGAATGCCCAAGGACAAACTAACAACACTCTCATAAACTATAATAAACAGTTACATAAATAAGACAATTAATGGAAAAAAAAAAACCCATATTAAAAAAAAAAACTCCCTACTATAATGAGCTAACTTTAGTTTTCATAAATAGACTTAAAAATCAGCTCATAGAATGAGCTAAATTCCAGCTCAAATATTTTATTAGCTTGTAGACTCGGGGAAGAGCCAAACATTGATTTTTTGGAACATGAGTTGAACCCCCCCCTCCTTTGTCTTACAAATCAG